GGGGGGGGGTATCAGTTAATTTCGGCTAAATAGAATTCCAGGAAGGCAGAAGTAAGAGATAATGGTCAGATTTCTTCTGTATATTACGTGAGGGTTACCAAGCACAGTTGTTATCAAATGCACGTCAATGCGTGCTCCATTAGACCGCAGAGCTTGTGTGTTCGTCTCAATATCATGTCTCCCTTTCCCTCCAACCGGAGCTGATTAATATCATTTTGTCACGACGCGGTGGAATCAGGCGCTCGTCAATTTTTGGGCATGTGGAGTTATTGGAATCATCTTATTAAACTTAAAGCTTGTTTATTTGTCTAATTGTTAATGAAAAAAAAAAATATATATCTTGAATAGAAGTCAAGATATTATGTCTGTGCTATTGAAGGAGGTCGGGTCACCTGGTTTCAGAGGTAAAAATTAGCGAGGGAAAGGTCACCAAAGTTTGGTGACTTCCATAGCTTGAGATTTCTAGGAAACTTAAAATGTACATTATTTGTGTGCGTTTAATCAATGTTTTTTCCGGCAAAATCCACACAGAAATGTGTTTTTAAATTAGCATTAATGTGTTGAGTCAAAAACAGAAAAAAAGCATTCGAAAAAAAATAGCCCAAAAGCCACAAATTTTATTTTTTTTTAATCCCGGTTTCTTCGATTTCATTATTAATTTTGACAACCTGATTTCACCACGATAATATAGTTATTGTAGCAACCGGTAGGATTCCATGTCCGTTCTGATCATGTCTTTTCTTGTTTGAATAAGGAGTACTGCTTGAAGACAGTGCAAGCGCGCTCATAATATGACCTTATGCAGTTTCGAGCGCCGTAAAACACTCTCCCCCCCCCCCCCCCCCCCCCCGAAAAAAAAGACGGTGAATGGCGGCCATGTTTTAGTTGGTGACTAGTTTTTGTTTGGTTTTTATTTTTTTATTTTTTTTTCCTTTTGAATTGTGTTTTGTTTTTTTTAATTTCATTTTCGTTAACGGGTGTAGGTAACATTGCTGTTGTTGTTGCTGCTGCTGTTATTGTTTTTGTTGTTGTTGTTGTTGTTTTTTATTAGTGTTCTCGTCGATGTAATCATAATTCTTACTATTTTTTTTTTTTTTTTTTTTTTTTCGGTTTTGTCGTCGTTGCTGTTGTTTTCACAGACGGAATCGTTATCGTTTCTCACAGACGGAATCGTTATCGTTTCTCACAGACGGAATCGTTATCGTTTCTCACAGACGGAATCGTTATCGTTTCTCACACTGTCATTGCTGCAGGTGACATTGGTCAGTCTCAGGCAAAACTGCACAGATTCAGCTGTTGTCGCCTCACTTGTTAAAAAATCGAGTGAATCTGCAATGGCACATAATATCAAACTTTTCGTGTTTTTATTTCGGAGTTTGGTTAATGTTGAAAAATAAAAGAATTTCAATAATAAGAAGACTTTTCAAAATTGTTGAATTGTTCCGTGTTTTCGCCTTTGTTGTGGGTGGTTGGAGGGCGCTACTGGTGGACTGGGCTTTCTTTTTATTCTTCTGCTTCATCTGTTAGTCCGAATGCTTTTTTTTTTCCTGTTCTAAATGGCAGATATTAAATCCTACATTTGTTTTAATTAACACCAACAAAAATTAAAACCAAAACAATAATGATCAGATTATAGTTTTATACAAACACTTAGATCGTCTATAAAACACAGTAGATGCTTTCTGAAGCTCAGCATACTTTTACAGAGGTCAAACGCTCGTTTCCTTTCATTCATAAGAACTGTTTAATCCTTTTACAATTATAAATGTTAAAAAAATTTATTTATTTATTTATTTATTTATTTATTTATTT